ATCTCAGTGGAAACCGCTAGTACGAGAGGCAGGCACTTGAAGTGGAATACGCATGATATCAATCCTCACGTCCAGCTGAAAATGGGTGACCTCAAACTCCTAAATCAGGTTTTAACTAAGTCGGTATCGCAGAAATAAGCTGAAACAAGAGTACGCGTCTTGAGCATATAGCAGTCTGTGGAAGGAAAAGCAAGAGTGAGCTGTTCTTTCGTTCGAAGGCGTCCCTTGATGCTCCCTTTGATGCGCCCATTTCCAAATGTGGAAAGATGATCAGCCACCCTCGCTCGGCGAAGCTCGACGTTTAATCGTCATGGCAATATTCACTACTCAAGGCATATAAGCGGAGGCGGAGGCGCACACGGCCGTCACGTATGAATCGCTTGCTGAGATAGTGCATTGGTTCTCCGCTTGCATTATGCCAGAGCTGCACGATCTCAGGCCCGCGAAGTTGGTCCGTAACGATCATGCCCGAGTCGTTCCGGACAATGCTCGCGCCGCTTTCTTGGCTGCTTTGTATCCTATTCGCTGGAGCAACGGATATACTGGCAGTTCGTAGGGGCAATGGTCATGTCAGCAAAGTTTGCCTCTCGTGCTTTCCATACTAGAACCGACGGTGTCATGCTCTCACAGGTGCAGCTTCCTCTCTCTCCAGCCACTAAACCCTTTGGGGGTTTGGAAGCTTTGTCTACCGCATACTTTACAGTCCTCGCACATCCTGCTTTTCCGCATCACAGCGTGCGCATCAAGAAATCGCGCTTCTGCGATGGCACTGTGGAGTAAGCTCTCAGTCAGAACCGCTGCGATTTGGCTGACCTGTTGCAGTGCCTACACAGGTTACATCGACGTTAAGGCGCGCCATCTCTTTTTCTACTTCTTTGAGAGTAGGCACGATCCAGCTCGCGATGATGTCGTGTTTTGGACGAACGGTGGTCCAGGTGGTTCGTCGTCCCTTGGTCTCTTCATGGAACTCGGTCCTTGCACCCTGAAAACGCCCGACAACACCACTTTCAATCCATACTCCTGGAACGAGTACGCGAATCTATTTTTTGTTGATCAACCCGTCGGTGTTGGCTTTTCGTACGCTGACCACGGGGAGGCTGTCGTGAGCTTTCCGGGGTAGCAAATGTTGTTGAGGCAAAACTGACCACAGCTGGCCACAGGGAACCACTGAAGATGCTGCAAAAGATGTTGCTGCATTTGTAGCGATATTTTTTGAGCATTTCGATCAATTCAGACATCGAGGTTTTCATATGGCTGGCGAGTCGTACGGGGTGGGTAGCTCCTTGCGGCAGCTTTGGACGAGCTTTGAAGCTAAGCATTTCCTCAGGGTCGCTATCTTCCTGTCTTCGCTTCCGAAGTCTACGACCAAAACGTCAAGCTTGAGGCACTTGGTATGGCCCCAATAAACCTAACCTCAATAATGATTGGTGAGGGATTTACGAGCTTCCTTTCCTCGATGGCCGTCTCAGGCATGTATTCTCAGGCAATGGTTGCACTGATGACATCACGATGTTTCCTGCTTATTACGATATCGAGTGCAAGAATGTCTCGGGGCCGCCTGTGTTGGATATAGCGTAAGCGTAGTCTCGCGTCGTCCTGCCTATCCACTCAGCTCACGAGAAATGTTTGAGATAGCACATGCATCGGGATCAAACAAGCTGCAAGTTACTCTTTTCTAACTTTTAAAAGATAGCTGACGTTTGATATCCAGCTTCCAAGATGCCAGAAGTGGTTCCAGGCCGAGTGCTTGGACAGAAGGGATTACATCAACTGTCAGACTGCTCTGCAATTCTGCACGTCGTCCATCATGGATCCCTTCGTGGCTTCTGGTGAGCCAAGCACTAAATCTGCCGCGCTCGGCAAATCCAATGTTGCTAAGATTCATCGTGCAGGAACGAATCCCTACGACGTTACAAAGTCTTGGTACGTTGTTCATCATACACCAAGGCGGTGCTTAGTGACTCACTGTTCCGGATAGCGCTGATAGATTCGAATGCTATAAGGAATTTAGGTGCATATTTCACGACACGGATAGGAGATAACTCTCAACCTCTCCGTTCGTAGTCAAATAGAGCATTACCTCGACAAGCCAGATGTCCGCAAGACACTGGGCATAGAACCATCTTTCGGCAACTTCAGCCGGCACAGTATGGAAATTGTACTCGCGTTCGGTGCCTCGTTGGACGAAGTATTCCCGACCTCGTACTACATTGGTGCCCTCCTTGAGCGGGGCGTGCGCGTGCTGCTCTACGTAGGCGCGAATGACTGGATCTGCAATTGGGTGCGTCTCCGCTTGGCTCGGCACGGATGAACCAATCTGACAGAGTCAAGGTCGGGAATGAACAAATGTCCCGGGAGCTGGTCTGGACGGGCCAGAAGGCGTTCACCGGGGAGCCGTTGAGAGAGTGGGAGGTGGACGGTGAGGTGGCAGGTGTCACGCGTGCAGCCAATGGGCTTACGTTCGCAACTATCGACGGCGCTGGACACATGGTATGTTCGTGCAGCTCAGGCTAACTATATCATGTCTCAATCCCTGCCCTTCAGGTCCCGATGGACAAACCAAAGGTTACTCTCGAAATTCTAAAGAAGTGGCTCTCGGACGAAGATTTCTGACAGCGAATTTTCGCGTACATTCGGATTAAATCTGTTCTATAACATCATGGTAGATGCAATCTGTAGTCCGCAACATCCAGAGTGGAGTACAACAGTAGTAGATGCTAAACGTCTCCCCAATTCTTAGGGATTTACGCTACTTGAGTTTGGGCATGCGTTTTCTGAGCGTCCGGGGATTTTGCGTTCTCGTATCTGGAAGCTCGGCAGGATAGAGAGGTGAGATCCAGAGACAGCTGCGCTTGCCTGTATGAGATACAAGAGGTCCGTGGTATAGAGATGTTTGAGTTTCGAACCTATACGACGCAAAATCACTGCGCACGACGTGAACGTAAGAGTCTATGATGCGTATGGGAGGTCGGAAGGAGACTGGAAGGCGCGGAGGGAAATTTCGGCGGCAGACATCAGCGCCGATTCTCGGTCCATAACGGGCCCAGAAGTAGAGGCACTGGTGTCCTGGCAATCCGAATCTTCACAAGCGTCTGGGTGGCCGCGATGAACCATGTCCACTAGCCTCGACAGTGGCTCCTGGTCGGGTCCAGTAATAAGACCCTTCGACTGAAGTCGCTCGAGTGCGTGGAACAGGCGCAGATACGCCCGCCGGGTTTCCCCGTCTATGTTGGTCGCCCGGAAGTGTCCTGCTCGGGCGTTCCAACAATGTGTGACCCATGGCAGGTGAAAGTAGCAGCCGCAGTTAGCGATGTGGGAGCGCAGCGTGTGTTCTGCTACGTCGGCCATCTTGTTGATGATCGTCTTGACGTATTCCAGAGCCTTGGGTGAGCCTATGCGATGGTCCACGAGTATAAGCCACTGGTTGCACAGTAACACGAAGGTGTGCAGGTCTTCAGGGTTATAGTCGGCCATACTTTCTGCGTAGTAGTCACAGATGAGCAGGCTGTAGTCGAGTGCAGCCATTTGTTCGTTGCGCACGACAACTAGTGAGTTTTGATCAGTGAATATAACGCCAGGATGGGTTGATATAGCGCACCACCAAGCTGTCCATTCTCTGACGTGACGTAAGCAATACGACATGCTAGCATGGTAGCCGAAGAACGAAGACCCGGGAAAGTGGAGTCAACAAAATCTTTGCTGCTCCTTTCGCAGATCAAGGAGCGGAAGCCTTGAAGATGAAAATCCCGGACAGGGTGATTTCGCCTTGTACACGTGCACGAAAAAACGCAAAGCAGTCCAAGGATGGTCCTACCATAGGCGGCAAGTACCTCTGGGCTTCGAATTCGCGAAGCTGGTGCCTCCAGGAGGCCGACAACCGCAGCTTTAAGGTCGGCGGCGACGAGATCAACAAGAAGAGGAGCGTAGTCGGGTGCCACACCTAGATGAACGGCACCATATTGAGTTCGCTGTCTTGTTCTCGAGACAATTCGTTGCTCTCCGAGAATATTTGTTGGTTCGGAGTGCCACATTTCGCGTATCTTGCGCTGAACCGCTATAACACCAGAATCATTCGCATTTGAAAACGCAAGTTCCGGTTGCCGTAGGTTGTCCGTCTGTAAAGACCAGAGGATACACCAGTCAGAAACGTTCGGGATGCCGTAGGTGTCTGGGTTCTCCGGCAACTGCGTATGGATCGTCTCCATGCTGAGCATGGCGTGTTCCCGGATTTGTTGGTCTTGCGACGCTTTGTACACCCAAGAAAGTGCCCGAAAAAGAAGGGATACTTCGAAAACATCTTTTAGGGCAGCATAGGGAGAAATCCGCGCGAAATTGGAGTTCGTCTGCCCGGTAAACGTCCCCTCTTCGTTAAGGCCGACCTTCTCCACTGTCAGAGCATGCTGAATACCTTCGTAAAATTCTTGTGGGACGCTAGGTTGGCGTGACATTGGGCTGTCAAAGCGATCCGGGAGTTCTTCGCGCTGCCGCCAGTCCTGTGGTCTCTTCGGCCACCGAACCTCAACCTCTGAGAATGGCCACCAGCCATTGCGCAAGTTCTGGAAGCACTCCACGCAGAAGCGAACGCAGTAGACGATAGTGTCGACAAGAAGGTTCCACAGGACGTAACATGCCCAAGCGGTCGGAGACTTGTACGGACAGCGCTTGAAGATGACGGGGAGAACTGTGAACGCCGAGACGATGCCGAGGAAGACCGCAGTCGCGACGGTGATAACGATCGCCACCACTGTGTCCAATGTCCATAGCAGAATAATGAGCCCGACCAAAAACATGATCATAGCGAGTTCCAGTAAGGCGGGTATGGACGAGATGGTCGCGGAGATGTGCCAATCCTCGAATGCCTCGTAACGCAACTGGCGAATAAGAACATTTTCCCGAGGGATACCCAACGTAGAATTCCATTTCATGTATTCGCGCAGCCACTGCTTCGCCAAAATGCCGAAGAGGGCGGCGGCAAGGCTGAAAACAAGGCTGAGGAAGAATAGTATGTTGATCCAGCGAGCCGCCGTCGACGGAACGAAACTCGTTGATGATGAATCGGAAGCTGTGGGAGATGGCATGGGATTGGCAGGCAGGCCCTCTGCAAGCTGGGAAGATATTGTAATGAGGAGCTGATTTGTCGTCTGTCCCGTGTCTTCTTGTAACATCGTGTAGGTCTCTACCACGAAGGCCGTAAGCACTGCCGAGAACAGACCAGCCTGTACAGTCACATGAGCATCTCTCCGAGACGCGAAATTGAATTGCAACGCACAAAGACGAGTAGAGTGTCAATATCGTCCGCATAGTCCTTAACTTTGCCCCCATCATGTCTCTGGACGTAGTCCTCTATGGCCGCCCAGCCGGCCAAGTCTTGCTTTGCCGTCGGACGCTGCAAGATGTCAGCGTTTGGCACGAAGGAAGAGGAAAAGACAGCTTGCCTCCTTGTTGCGGTCAAGGATAGTCATAGAGTCGCTGTGCAAGAATGAACGGAAGGCTGTGTGCTGGCACGCTTAGTCCCCCGGTTTCACGTGATGAAGCACGCCACAAAGCCAGCCCTGCTGCGGGGCTCTGATCTCTTACTGGCACTGTACCGGCTGCCTTCGGCAGGTACTTGCGAGTTCTTTTGCTATGACTTATGCTTGTACCATTGTCATTCTGTGAGAATTCATTTTCGAAGCATTTTGTAGCACCCCACAGTACAGTACTACTAATTGCAATCGACGTGCCTTTCTGATTAGCACATCCCTCGTCCCAACAGCAGCATGCGGCTTCCTCAAGCCTCGACGGTCTCGGTCGTCCGCTGATGGACATACCCATATGCAATCCACCAGCGCGTGCGAATAGCAACGGCACTAGACCGTAGCAGGAAAGAAGCTCGCACTGCGCATCGCAGTCGTTGATCAACTGCGAAGAAAAACCAACACGCGGATGTATCTCACCTTGTCAGCAAGCCAAATGCGGGGTAGCCAGGAAGTCTGAGAATTCCGGGGACAAACTGTGCCTTGCGGGGTAATAGAGTTACATCAACCGGGCTCGTTCCTGGGAGCACGGGGGCCGAGTGCCCTTCGGAATCACGCATCGCGCCGCTGACGATGGTGCCTACGCAGTTGCTACATGCCAATGATCCTCGGGATGCGATGCTGCCATCCAACAGAATTGGACATGTACGTGATTGATATGTCGCAGAAAACCGGAGACAGCACTGTCATTTGCATTGTCGTAAGGCCAGTTGGGATCAGATACCGAACCGGGAATTTTTGCTCATGGACCAACCGCGCCCGACTCTACCGAGGTTAGGACCGCGCGGGAACTTTCCGCCAAGAGTCCAGCCGTCGCACGTCCAACGTCACTCAGCGAATCGGAAGAAGCAGAGCCGCCGTGGCCGCTTACAGTGTGGCATCGACTTCTTCGACGCGCGATAGCTTCCGTCGCATTATGCCGCTCTCGAGCTTACGAACCCGTAGCGCTGACTAACACTAAAGTTCAACATTCAACGTTCAGCCTACGTCCTACATCATGGGCACATTTGACTCACCTCACCGACGCTAGCCCGATCCCTCTGACTCGGCAGCAGCTCCGACCGCATCCCTACATCGGTAGTCTAACTTGAATTTGACGGGAGACGTGGAGACCGACGCCTCAAAGCTCCTCCGCAACTGTCGTCGTGTTCCCCCGACGAACTCGCTCTGACATCACTCGTTCCATCACCACGATGATTCCGCCAGGCGCGAAACGCGTCAGCGCAGACACACTCGTGATGTGAAGGGAGATGCGCCGTCATACAAACACGTTTGCACGGACACATTGCCTGATGCCATCCCTCCTCGTTCTCCGCCCGGGGGAGCGCATGCGGCAAGTTCCGGGCGCGGCTGGGATTCCTTGGACCTCGGCTTCAGGTGTGCACAGCGCGGCGCTGTGTCGCTTCCGATGCCATCCTAATGGACGCGCACCGCCTGCACCATGCCTGCAGGTGCATGCTTTTTGCTGTCTGCTGCGCCACTCGCCCCTGCGGCGCGTGGAGACCACTCTGGGGTAAACGAGCTAACAAATGAATGAAATTGTGGGGAAATTGTGGGGAAGTCGGCTTCATGTCCGTCCAGAGCGCCGTTCGGTGGCAACCAAGAAGCTACGACGTGACCCGTGAGCGCTAACCATGCCTGGTCGCCTTGGCTGAGGAAGCGGTGAGTCATAAAACAAAGAGAAACCTAAAGAATACAAAGACGGACGACCCGGCTCTGAGCATGTGATAAACCGCAACTCGTTGGCAGATATTCGAGGCACGGATCGGGTCGAAGCGGTAAGACATCGGGCGGTACAGCCGTCGTCGGGAGTTGCCCCGCAATTCGGGAAACGCCTAACGCTGATGGACTCTGTTGTTGACCAGAGACCACGAACAACGGGACCGGAGTCCCATGGTGCCGTCGATACAGCGAGGGAAAAGCGTCGGCTGACGATTGGGCGGTGGGTGAGTGTGCAATTGGGCGCGCGGTCCGAGCTGGAATGGGGAACATTTCGAATGCTTGCGTGTAATGTCGGCCATCGGGTCAACTGATAGAAATCTCGCATTCCCCAGTGCATAGGGCAACGTCTGGAAATATGGATGTGGACCCGTAGAGTAGCCGGGCACTTTACAGGTCCATGCTGGTTGCACGGCAATGTCTGCGTCCACGACTTCCAGATATCCCGACTGCACAGTGCGACTTTGTCGCTGCGTGTCCCATGTACCCTGGGATCCGGGCATCATGTTTAGCGCAGCCTTTACTGATTAATGAGATGACACACTCACCGTACCTCGCCGCAGCGTCCAACAGCTCGCGGGGCCCCGCATGCGCACTACGCGCGCTTTTCGTCCGACGAACTGCGGCAAAGCCGAATCTGCCCGCGCTCGAGCTTTCGCATTAATCTGAATGCTGGCAAGGCCATCTCCGGCGCACCCGCGGAGTGCGGAGATCTCCCGAAGGACGACCGCGCCTGGGCGACGGGCGGCGTCGCGGGCGCTCTGGGGGCTTGGGCCGAGGGCGGTTCGCAAAAGCCGAGGAAACAAGTCATGGCATCCCGATCACTGGTCGGACGCAAACTGGTGGCGCGACTTCGTGGCGTCCAAGTGCGGGCGTCGGCGCTGACGCAGTTTTGCCATTCAGTTCCAGCGAATTCGTCCTTCCGTGACCCAGAACGTCCTCGGGGCAAGACCCACGGTGTCCACGACCAATCGCCGTCGCTACCAGCTATCGCCCCCTCCTGTCTGTCAAACAGACAAGGGAACAACGCGAGTCCTACGTGGACTCGCCTGCTTTCCTGCGACCGACCGATGCCGCCGGTTTTTGCGGCCCCGGTCGCTGACCTCCCGTATGATATGTCAGAGGACTCGCGTCCTTCCCTTGGCGACACCAGCTGATGTCCCGGGCAATGCACTGGCGACGAACAGGCCCTCGTGGGCCGCAGTGCCACGATGCCATGACAACGCTCTTCGAGATGCCCTCGCAGGGGGGGGCCCTGG